GCAAACAATACACAGCTCAAATGCACAGCTTGTATGTTGCTGTGGAGAGCCCATGCATCATAATTTAATCTTGTTTCTTGTGGGTGGGTTAAGAGGGGGGGGGGGCGACATGGTTAAAATTGCCACATGGTGTTATTCCCATTTTTACTGTGGAAGTTGAAACTGTGTACGTGTGCATCAAATCTGTCATCTCACAGGCAGTGGATATTTACTTGGCTTTTAATTTTGTGGGAAAGAACACTTCTTACGACATGCAGCCTCTAGTAAACAGTATTTCATTATGGTTTACCTATATCATGGACAATTGGACATGTATGTAATAACCTTTAAAGAAATGAAAAGAAATTGTTTACCGCATACCTTCGCAAATGTATGTACATGTATTGTGGGTCTGTTTATCAACAAAAGCAAACTCGAATTTTTTTTACAAGATTTGACATGTACCGTAGTTTAAACGAGTTCCAAACCTCAGAGAAATCTGGAATATTTTGAGGGATTTTCTGTGTAAAACAGTTTGTGCCTGTTTTTTTTTTTTTTTTTTTATATATTAGGCCTATTATAAATTTTTTTAGGATTTAATGTTTGTAATTTTTATGCTACTTAGGAAACAGGATTTTCTTTTATAAAAGTTGTTTTGAGTCGTTTTCTTTATACAGGCTTTACTTCACTAATACAATACATGAATGTATCCTTGTAATGTACAAAGCTGCAAAATGCTTTTAAATTGAAAGCATGATAAAATCCCTTATTGTAGTTGATCAGGTTGATCCATGCGTCACATGGATTTGATCATGGCCTTGGGAGGACAGGAATTTTTGTCAGACTGATAACAAATTTAGGAAGACAGAATTTTAATTTTAAATGCACTAAACATGCCTTGAGGGATTCTCATTTCTTTCTAATAAACCTTTCAGTAATCTCTCAATTAATGTACAATTTTCAATGGGCATTGAAACAGATGTACTTACAAATGTTGATGTCTGGTTGGTTTTCTTTTCAGGATCAAAAACACAAGAACTTACTTGTGTACATGGTGAAAAAAATAACCGAACAGCAAATGGCATCAATACAGTCAATCAGTTTTCAAGAGTTAATTTATACACACATGTTCATGTTTTGCACAAATCAATGAGATGTTTTGTACCTCAACATTTCTGCAGTTTAACAGTGCCTTTGAAAGTGGATGACAATGCTGACCAAAAAAAGTCCATTGACCTTGAACTTAATACATTTTGCAACATTGTAATACATTATGCAACAGTGTTGCAAAATGTATTACAATGTTAAAACTCTACTTCCTGAATCAATTACATTTAACTACATTTAACTACTTGTATTTTTTTTTTGCTCTGAAGGCCCATTAAACAACTCAAGGGTAATTGGTAGGAAATTATCAGGCAAACAAAATCCATTAAGTTTTTTTTGGAGAACAAAACTGACAAGGGATTTTTTGGCATGTTTTGGAGTTTCTTTACAGCAGTCAGCATTACCAGGATCATATGTTTGGGTGCCTGTGTTAAGAGCCAGTATGTATTGTGCATGGTTGATATACATGTAGTTACTTGATGATTTGCATGCTCCATCTAAAAGGTTTCCGGCCTTGGGCTTATGATCATCCCAAGTGAGAGCAATTAATATAATTGTCATTTAAAGACCTTTACATGTTGAAGAGGTACATCATTACATGGACTGTGTGCTGCTGCACCAAGCTTCAGCCTCAGTAAACATAATGGAAATGGTCTCCACATTAAACATGTCTCAAACTTTGAAAAGATTGGAGATTTTTACAAATTGTTATTTTCATGACTCCCACTCAGGCCATCTACCCATATCAGATGATGAGATCAATTGGGCACCAGTCAAACCAATGATTAGGCCAGTAGGCACACACATTATCAACAATGGCACAGCCACCGACAGTTTACCAACAGCAAACACTCTTATGTGGCTGCTTGTTTACTCTTGTACTAGTCATAATGAGCATTTAAAGCTCTAAGCACACAAGGACTGTCCTCACTTCACCTTACCTCAAAGGCTAGACTGGCTTCAGTCCCGAAAGGAAACAAAATGCAATATTTTGCTGAACCAGAAGTGCAAGCCAATTGTTATCTGAATGCCCAAGTCACAGACTGACTGACTGAGTTACTGGGTATGAATCTGAGACTGAACCGGGACTTGTTCCCAAGCATCTAGGACAGAAAATTTGCTCAAATTCCCCACCCTTTTAACTACAGTTATGTGACCATAGTTGAGATCCATCTCCCTCCAGATTTACAAAAGCAAGAATACTACACGTAGTAGGTAGATGAATTGAAGTACCGATAGCATACATGTTGCTAAGCTTACCGGTACATTAAAATGCATTCATGGGCAAGTATAAGAATTCAAGCACACTATGTCCCATACCGAACGAAAGTTTAGGCCTAACCCTCTAAATATTCACGGATTTCGGTTTTATTTATTCTACTGTTGGGCATCTGCAAGGAGAATACCCTCAAGAATTTTTATGTTATTAGTCTTTTGATGATTATGTAATAAACAAAAACATAGCGTTACGTATGGGACAAAAGGGGACCTTTTCTTGGACTTACCCGCATCATGATTTGGAGTTTTCTCTTACAAATTAAACCAGATTTTTTCAATTTTATTCTGGACCGGATTTTTATAATGATCATTTTGAAAGTCCGTATCTCTGAAGTGATTCTGAATCATGCAGCACAATTATAAAATCGACTTGCATAATATTTTCTTGGAGATCTAAAAGATAGTGGTGCTCCATCCAAATTACAAAAAGAAATCTGGCAAACGCTAGTGATGTATTGCATTTAACCTATTCTTGTGCATACATTTACTGTATGTCTGTTTGTCGATTCTATATGCACTGCATGGAGCTTTTCTTAATTTTCATGCCCGAAGCAATTCAGTCACTGTGCATGACGAACCACTATAAGCCACGATTTCTTTTAATTCAATATACAGAAGAATTCAGTGCCTTTTTTGTTTGTGCGGCCAGGTCTACATGTAGTTGATCATATTGGTCATGTTGGTGAGAGGCAAGGCCAGGGAATACAGTGTAATAATAGAGAAGCTCAAGGACTATTATGTATTCAGCATTGTTGTCCGTTCACAAAAGACGCACTCAAAAGAGATATGCATCTCACAAAAGATGGTTTGCGAGTTCAGCAAAAGAAAGATGACTGATTAAGAATGCATGAATTCTGTGCTTGTGCATGAATCAAGGGTGTAACTTGAGTAATTTATACAATATTTTGAGAAAATAGGGGAAAAAACAACAACCAGATGGACAAGTTCTTTGTTAATGAATTCTATATTTTAGGAAGTTGTCACATTTGGATTTTTTGTATCTGTTTTGTGTATGGACAAAATGAATGGGTTTCAGATCTTTACAATGTCGAAGATTTTATGCATAATTTCCAGAAATGAGAAAAGAAATAAAAAGTTGAAGGGCAGAAGCCAGAGAGATGTATTGTGTGTGAGGAGAAATAAAAAAGTGTAGTTGAACTCAGACACGTTTTCCCTATGTTACTTTCCATACAATTTCAATACATTTTTACACATGGTTGGTCTCCGATATGCTTTCAGATCCCCAAAATTCGCTGTAAGTGTGGGGCCTGAAGTTGCAAACAATAACCCAGAAATCCAATGGTTGTTTACTACATGTACAAAAGTATTCATGTGTGTACTAGGGTAGTCCCGAATTGACCTATCGCCGTTTGCGTGTTGGCCACGCCCCTTAGACAACATTATGGAGTTTTTGTACGCTACGTTTTGTTTGTCTCAGATGTTGCGCGTTCCGCGTCCATTTGTACAATGTATATCATGTTACTGGACAATATTTCACAAACTGCGTTGACGCGATTCTAACGCGATAGGTCAATATACCAAATACCCAAAATCAAATATTTGATCATCAGCCGAATATTCGAATAGCTTTTTGCCAGTCTGAATATTCCACAACTAACAAAACTAGGCACATACACGTAGGCCTATACACACGACTGTGATGTTATTTTATCGTAAAGTTGTGGTGCTTTATTGTGCTTCTTTTTTTGTTGACAGTAACTTTTTGTGGTCGACAGCGGTTCATTGTTCATCCTTTTAGCAGGTTAAAGGGAATGTACAACATTTGTTTTTGCTGCAATTTTCAGAAATAAATGGATTTGGAGGAGCATGTTGATATAGCAAATATTATTAAAATGACTTGTTTCACGTTTTGGGCCCGTAGATGCTGGAAAAACCAAGAAAACCAATCATGTTCTGGTAGTCTGGTTCCCTGACCCCACTTAAAATGAAACGGAGAATTTATAGACTTTTGGGAATTGTAAGGTCAGAGAATCAATCTAGCAGGCTTTTACCCCTTCACAGTTGTGTAATCAATTGCAAAATAATGCGGAATAACTAATAATGAAAAAGTAGGAGCAGTTTTTGAAAAACGCCAGTTCTCTCCAACGCTGGTCGGCCGACCAGCATTGGAAAAAAATACAATTTTTCTTGAAAATGCAAGCACACCGGGAACCATATTTTTACAGGATACTTTAGACTGTCATTCCCTAACAATGCAGTAAGGTATGTTGTAATAATTTGATCGTTTCGTTTTGTGATGTTTGCAAATGTTGTATCTTCCCTTTAAAGCATAGAAAACTACTAATTGCAAAACCCTCCAGCGGCCCATATCGATCGCCGCACGCAAATCTTAACTGGCACTCTTTGTGCAACTTTTTACCAGCACAACACCCAGTTGCAGCTGGCAGTTTCGAATATCCAAATACTCGGTCAAACGCAGCTTCGAGTACCGGTAATCAAATACTAAATTATTCGAAATTGGACAGCCCTAGTGTGTAGTGTACATATGCATGTTGTGAAGAATCCTTTTAAAAAATCCTGGATCCAGACCCAGACACGGATCGCCTCCAAAATCTAATTGATTTGTACTTGTACCAAGGACCACCCGTAAAAAAAATTTCATGCAAATCCGTCCATAACTTTTTGAGTTATCTTGTTATTGCAAACCAATCAACAAACTTACCAAATCCGATGAAAACATTTATCCCTGGTGGAGGTTCATGTAACATGTGTAATAACCATGTGTTTAATAGCTCCATGTAATAATCAACAAAACATACAGCATAGGCAGGCCTTTACAAGAAACAACCACAGTCTGTCGAATCATGGAGCTATTATATTTAGCTCCACGGTCTAACGGGTCCTTGCTCTATGGTCCAATTCATTTCAAGATGTTTTCCTGATTACAAAAATCTATCAATCCATCATGTACGTGCATACCAGCGCATCTGATCATGGTAAAAAACATCTGTAGGTAAAAAAATTGTGCTTTTTATCAGAGTGACGATAAACCTGATCTTTCTGATCATGCAGGTATTTGAAAAATTACAGAAATTAGCATTGTAAATTACTGATTCTGATATTTTTTCCTGAAGGGCTAAAATCATTTGTGTTAAAATTTTGCAAATGAACTGACATCACATGAACTTGACAACAGACAAATTCTGAATCTTTGGTTTTGATACGACAATAACGTAAGCTGTTTGGCAAGATTGCAGTCTTGTAAAGATATTGTCCAAGAATGGTTCAAGAAAAGACCAAATAAAAACTTTCAAACAAACAATTCCAGCTTGTTTGTCAATGGATTTAAAAACTGTGCTCTAATATTGACAACTGACAAAATGTACAAATCTTATAAACGTTAAAATTAAAAATTAAAAAAAATAATACATGTATGTAAATTGATAAAACACTTCACAAAAAACAGGCCTTTAAAAAGATACTTATAACTACACAGAGCTGCTCTGCATTGGCAGCTATTTTAAGCCATTCCCCACCCCCCACCCCAAAAAAAATGCCTGACAAAATTCTGTGAAGCTTCACTTTGATCCCCATTTTAGGCCAATCAAGGGGGAAAAAAATCATGTTGCCTTCAAAACAGGATGATAATACATTTAACACAGTTTGGAACTTTAGTGGACAAGAAAAACAGCAGCGTTTTTGGAACACATACATGGTTTTCAACTTTTCAACAGAACCATTTCATTTCATTTATTATTTGACCTGCGAAATAATAAATGAAATGAAATGGTTCTGTTGAAAAGAGACGAAAAAAAGAAGAGTGTCAGACTGGAGTCTGGTACATGTAATCATACATCCGTTTCAATGCTGACTGCATTCAAGTTAATGCAATTACCCTGGATGTTGTTGGGGCGCCTGTCTATGTTGTTGTTATACGGAGACTTAGGGATCACACCCTGTTGGTTCAACAACCCTTCCTCCATTTCTACTATGTGATTCATTGAGTTCTGACTACAGCTTCCACTCTGGCTGCGCTTGGCCGAGGGCGGAGGAAGGTAGGGGCAACTTTGTACATGGGAATACTCTTGAGTGTCCATGTTATCCGACTCGCGGTGATAGAAGTAATTAAAATTGGATACAATGACAGGAACCGGAAGCGCGATGGTTAACACGCCCGTCACAGCGCATAGTGAACCGACTATTTTCGCACCCGTGCTCTGCGGTTTCATATCACCGTACCCTACTGTTGTCATGGTGACAACTGCCCACCAGAAAGCGTCAGGGATGCTTTTGAATATGGGCCGGCCCTTTTCGTCTATGCTGTCGGCATCCGCGAAATAGACTGCACTTGAGAATAACACTACACCTATACACAGGAAAAATATTAACAGCCCCAGTTCTCTCATGCTTGCCTTTAAAGTTCGACCTAAGATTTGTAGCCCCTTAGAGTGCCGAGACAATTTGAATATTCTAAAGACGCGTACCAAGCGGATAACACGAAGGATGGCCAATGACATTGCTTGGCTGTTGCGATCTGTCGAGGACTGAGCCACTATGGTACCCACTTGTATGAAGTAGGGAAGTATTGCTATCACGTCAATCAGGTTCATGATATTTTTCAGGAAGACCATCTTGCTGGGACTGGACAAGAAGCGCAGGATGAACTCCGTGGTGAACCAGATGATGCAGACGGTCTCTATAATGAAGAACGGATTTTGGAAGTATGCAGCTAATTCCTCCTCCCACGTGGTTCCATTGTCGATGGGTATTTCCGTCGTCGGATGAGCTGCCAAAATGCCGCCACAAGGTGACACCGTCGGATTAGCAGTATCCACCGCCTGCTCTCCTCTGAACTCTGGCATCGTCTCCATGCAGAAGGTTACGATAGAAACCACAATCACTGACACTGATATGATGGCAATCACCCGGGCCATCTTGGAGCTCTCTGGATACTCAAAGAGCGACCAGACCTTCTGGGAAATTGTGTTTTGTGGAATTTCCTTCTCTTCCTCTTGTATGAAGCCTTCATCCTCCCTATACTTCAGCATCGCGTCCTCCCCAAGCTCATAGAACTTTATCTCCTCCGTAAATACATCCATGGGCACATTGACAGGCCTGCGCAGCCGCCCCCCACTCTGGTAATAATACAGGATCGCGTCGAAGCTTGGACGATTGCGGTCAAAGAAGTACTCGTTCCTCAGTGGGTCAAAATACCGGATACGCTTTTCAGGGTTGCCAAGAAGGGTTTCTGGGAACTGGCATAACGTTTTGGAATGGGTTTCAAAGCGGAGACCGCTGATGTTGATAACGACTCTTTCCCAGCCAGGCTCCTGGCCGTCATGGCCCTCATCCACGGAATCATCCCCACTCTCTTCATCCTCATCAAGGAGCCGAGGAAGCGATCGGCAGTTTGACATTCCAGTTGTTGGATTGATGCCCCCAGTACTGGCATTTGGTTGGGTGGGGCTTGGTGAGGAAGGATGACCGCGGACTCCAGGTCCATGGTGTACCGCAAAATGCCCACCGTGGGCACCGTTGGCGCCATAAGGCTCGGCACCAGACACCACAGCTGCTTCCATCTTCTTCCACCATGGCCTAGGTCTCTGCCATAATGGATTCAGTCCCCACCGCTCTATAAATTCAATTTTTTGGGTCATATCGGACTACCATCAAGCAACAGCCTGAGTAATGTACTGTCAAATGTTGTGGATGCGCCTGCGTACTTGAACTTAAAATAAATTTTGCTGTAAAAACAAAAAGATGATAAATGGGACTCGTCACTCAATTGAACAATTTGGAAATATGGGATACTTCTAACTGCAATTGGAATTTAAAATAGGAATCTCCCCACAAATATGTATAAAATCTAGTCCGAGTGACTAGGACTACAAATTGCCTTTTTTAACATTTGGTCATGGTCTGGTGATAGTAGCTTACTTTTAGTAGAGTCCGAGGGCGAATCAGTCCTGAGCTGCAATAACAAATCGCACAATCTGCACTGCCATTACCCTGTGTACAATACCACGGTGGTATACGCACCCTCTCCATGCTCTATGGCTGGCATGCACTCTCCCCTCTTTAGAAAATGGTCGGACCGAACATCATAACACTACGGATCCCAAGTCAGTGCGAAATTTGAATCACAACAGCAAGACAGCATCTTCAAGCACAACGAGAAGCTTACGGACCTGAACAGGAAAATTCTCTTTTTTTTCCGAACCGCAAACATCTTAATTCCTGATCTCTACCGGATTCCGAGGTGGCGTATTTGGCACTTCTTTGGGGTCTGTTTTGGGGTGAAATTTCAATGGTTTTGGTCAGCGATGAGTGTGCGATGATTTGATATTGCAGTTAAGGACTGATTGGCCCTCAGACTCTATCGCCAGACCATGACCAAATGTAAAAAAGGTGATTTGTATAGTGCTATAGTTACTCGAACTATATAAAATACAGGTTCTGCAAATTTTGTTTTAAAATATGATTGAACAACATACGTGTACATCAAGTCCTCCATTGGGTTTAATTTTTTTTATTTCAAATAAGGTGAACTCAAATACAGTCAAAAAATACAGTCGATTACTAAACCGATTTTAGGCCTACTCCCGAAAATCAGTTATGCGTCTATCAAATGTTGGAGTTTAGTCACGTTTTTCATGCCCCAGGGTGGGGATTTTGGGTCACTGTTACCAGGCATACAACATGGAACTTAGGAAATCACACTGGTGCGTCCCATATACCGTACATGTCTGAGATTGTCACTTAAATTTTGCCCGAGGGGTGGGGGTTTTGTCACTTCAAAAGTGACAATCCCCACGTCTAGGGTGGGGCAGCCCGGGGGGGGGGGGGGGGGAGGAGGGGGAAAACAATTCGTCAGTGACACCGCGAAGTACATTGTAACACTCATCTACATACCAATAAAAACTAGGCAACGGAGAAAACGGCATCTAAAGTTGAACGCCTTCTGGAACACTTTGCATCAAATCTGCAGAGTTTTTTCAGTTGGGTTTCTCGTTGTGGACACTTGATGTTTTGAACTTGTTAAATTTGCTGTTTTTCACTCGTTTGTATATTAAATCAACAAGAAATAAGAGAAAAAAGGTGAGTGCTACCGGTAGTTCGTGAAACCAAAAAAGCTGCGAAACTATAATTTTTTGTTTTTATGAAGTAGCACACTTCAATGTATTACAACACTGGAAACGGAGGTCAGCGCGTGCGCTCAAACAAGGAGAGTGTTACTTCGTGAAAATGTTCTTGCTCGCATTTGAGCACAGTGCGTGCCATGCATTACAATGGTAAATGGAACTTGAGTGCTACTTCGTAAAAACACAAACTTGTCACTATCGCGCAAAAGTTGCCATGGATAATTAGCGTAATTATTAATTAAAGTAAAGCTAGTCTCGAAGCTTTGACACTTCGTGCAATGGTCATGATGGTAGGGCCTTGATGAATAATGTTTAAAAATGTAAAAAACTGAAAACCGAGAAAAATATGGTAAACACGTGGAGTGTTACTTCCATCGTGGTGTCGGTGACGAATTCATAGGCACATTACTAACTGTTTTTCGGGAGTAACAACAAAATTTCTAACCGAGTTAGAAATATGCAACACAAACACCTACCAAAACATTTGTAAGCAAACTTCAATTGGACAGATTCACAAACATCAATCAAACATTGTTCACAAAGAAAACTTCCCCACTTACTCAAACAACGGAGGAAGCCTGTAGATCTAAGTTGCACTTGCAGGCCAAGCGCCTATCCAGGAACATAAAATTTACCAAACCATCCGATTCCTCCGTGCCGTTTGTACACATTGCACACGCTGCCACACACACCCGCTGCGTGCAGTGCGGCGCGGCACATACCACTGTACACAAATAAATCCAGAAGGTTGAGTTTGGAGTGTTTTCAGGCCATGTTGTATGTGGAAAATCCTCACATCTGCGAACTGACACGACGAAATCCGCGGGAAAAATCACTTTCACTTGGATTGAACAATCGTAGGCCTGCATTTCTGGGGAAGATTGAGGTCCATTTTGGGCTTTTTCGCCCTCATTTTGAGTTCCGCGGTTGGCCGTGCCGCTCGGCCGTACGAAAAATCCTGGCCAGTGTGTTAAATGTGATCGGCAGGGTGACCGTAAGGTTATGGCCAAATTCTGCTAAATGCACTTCAAAAATCTGTCAGATTTATCAAAAATCTGCCAAATTCCCCAGAATTACTCGAAATACACTATTAATTAAAACATTTAAAATCACAATGCGGATTTGTAGCATTGCCTTAACTAAGGTTCAAATTACATTATAAACAATCTATTGTCACATAAAGATGTTATGAAATTATTGCGTAAATTTTGGGCAAAACGCGGTTGCGTCACAACAAAGTCCGGTTCCCAGTGAGCCTCAGCACCTGTCAAGAAAACATTTTTGCAGAATTCTGCCAGAAATCTGCCAACCTGTCCCATTATGTAAGGGTTTGTATGAAAAGATTGAAGCTTTTTTTTAAACAAATGTACCTTTTTTTGTCAAATTTACTGTTTTTCTGTCAAGAAAACATTTTTGCAGAATTCTGCCAGAAATCTGCCAAAAAAAATCCATTCTGTCAAATTTTCTGTCAATCTCGTTTTTTTTTTTAAAAATACATCAAAGTTAGCCGAAAATCGGCTAAAACGGTCATCTTGATGATCGGACGATAGCGCAATTCGTTAACGCACGGAGCACAAAGTAGCCCAATGTGACAGTACGGTGACTTGTACAAGTGAAAGTTTTCCGCCCAATTTGGGCGCGCTGTGACCACGGATCCTCTTGTGAGATAAGTTGACGATTGAAATACCCGGGTTTATAATATATTTGTCTTGAGGAAATAATGGTTAAACAGTACCCTCTAAATGATTATGAGGGCGCATACTTTTAATCTCGAAATAATAATAACATTTGTAATTGTATGTATGAAGAAAAAAATGTATCACATGGGCGAAACAAAATTGGGGCCGTAGCATAGTCCGACGTACGTACGTCATAATCATAGGTCCGACGTCTCAGAAGTCCGAAATGAGGCGTCGGACCTGTGAGCTGATGAGGCGTCGGACTAATGAGCAGACCCCACAAACAATTGTGTGTCGCGGTACCGGTAACGCCCTATTAATTCCCAGGTACCGGTACGTCATGTAGATATACTGTGCGGGCTCTTGCGCGAATTGCACCGTCGGCCCTTCCCGTGGCAAAGAAGCCTCATTCGAAAAAAAAAAATAGAAAATCGAGTTTAAACTTTTTACTTACTGACTTTTTTTTAGTAAATAACTGGACTTTATGCTGTCAAATTGTATGATCATGGGAGATATGTTATTTTACTTTCCTGCAAAATTTTACAGTAAATGTCTTGGTAGTTTCAAAATTATGATCAATTTTGAGAACTTACTAATTGCCGCACGATTAATGCAATACATGATTGTATGCATCATTTTGATGGCAAAATGTTCATGACACGTATTTGTTTTGCCGTACAGACTTAAAAAAAGTTGTTAATCCAATTTAGGAAGTCCTAAAAAAAACCCGAACTATAACTTACAGCGTTTTGCCATTAAAAAAATCATTGACAAATAAAGGGGGAGTATGCTCAAGATAACCAGCACCATGAATAATACGGATAGCTTTTTTTTCTGTAACAAAAATAACTTATTACAACCTGTTATAGATGAACCCCAGGCCAGTGAATGAGTTATGAAGTGTAATCAAAATGTGTTCGGGAAGAAAACACTTTAGTCTGTTCATGGCACCAACATTTTTAGAGACTTTACTACACAAACTACTAATATGCTGATACATGATTCCAAGAGAGATTTTCATCAGTAAGAATGCCAAGGAATTTAGTGAACTTAACTTTAGTTAAAACAGTGTCATTTAAACTAAGTTGAACATTTTGAATGTATGTGTGTTGTCTGACAGAAATAATATAATTGGTTTTGAGTGAATAGATCATCATAGATCAGAGAGACAAAATGGAGCCCAGGTGGGCCGGACATGTAGCAAGAATTCAAGACAACAGGTGGACTAAATACTGACAGATTGGCAACCACGAACAGGCAAACGAAGAAGAGGAAGACAAAAAATTTGAGAGATAAGACATCTTTTTTTTTTTATCTTAAGTCATCTAGGGGGGTGTTTTCCTTGCTTTTTTGTTAATATGGTGCAATACATAAAATAAAAAATAAAAAAATTCCAGGAATCTGTGCAATTTCAAAGGGTTTTTCTTTTTGCCCATGCGATATGTGTTATAGTGTAAGTCTGTTATTATGTTTGTGTTTTTGCAAAATAGGGTTTTTAGTCATGCTATGGGAGAGCTACTTGACAGTGATTGAATTCACTTTTTAGCAATCCCGCAGGGGCGTGCAATTATCTTGGTGTAAGGGTCTAAGTCTTTTTTATGGTTTAATGTGTATTTTTTAAACTTATGTCTTTTTAGGATGTCTATTACTGTCTGTAATATTATTATTTTTGTTTTACCCATTGTAAATTTGACCCGCGAAATAATAAATGAAATGAAATGAAACGAAAATCACAACGTACGAGAGAGAGCAGCATTGATGAGGCTTTGTCACAACTTGATGAACTATAGATGATGATGATGAAACAATAAAGATAACTGATTGGAAAATAAATTTATGTTGTATTGTAATTTTTGTTATGTTTGTCTGTCGGTCTGAGCTACTTTGCTTACATGTAGGAATTTTACGGTATTCTGTTTAATTGACCTGTTTTATTGATTGATTAACCAATAATACACAAAAGGTCGCAGCTACAATGGATAGGCCTAACTGTATAAAAAAAAATAATAATTCGGTCCAAAATGTGGCAATAAAAACGTATGAGGTTAGCTATTTGGCCGCCAAACTAATTCAGTATTTAACAAATGAGTATCTCTGCTTTCTAAGTTCTTACATATGCCATTAATGTTTCATGAAACTCAGATTTCTCATAATTATTTTTTTTCTTCAAATCTGAAATTATGACCTTGATCGACGCATGAGGGCGCTGCTCACGCTGAGACGAAGCTTGCGAAGACGCTTTTTTTCTGTAGTCTACAAAATGGCGACTTTTGAGGGAGACTGGAGATTCTTCATCGCGCATTGTTTTGCAGTTTGTGTCCTGTTTCTTCCGAATGCCTCAGGTAAATACAATATATAGTCGTGGTTTATGTCGACTGTGTTTTATTCACGTATTATTGTACATGAATATGATACGATTGTGTAATTTTGGCCATAGACCGTTGGTCAACTCGAACAGTGTGCGCGCTTGCGCTCTAGCCTAGCTTGAATATGGATCTCGTTTGTACAAACAAGTGCATTCGAACTGTGATACGGAGTCGGGAACTAGGGCAGCTATCAGCGTAAACCCGTTCAAGCTAGTTCGCGACTCCATATCATCGTTCGAAATGCACTTGTACAAACGAGATCCAGTCTGCTCATTATCATAATCGATGCATCGCGCTCGTTAACGTAATCACGCTTGGACCACTGAATGAACGCTGGGCACGTACAGTTACATCGCGTCATTCAAACACGAGTCGGAAATTTAACGTGTTCACGATCGATCGCGAGGGGAGCTCTCGGAATTGAATGGGAAATATCACTTTTCATCCGACTCATAAGCAAACTTTAGTACCTCGATGCATCGATGATGATAATGAGTAGACTGGATCTCGTTTGTACCAGTGCATTTCGAACGATGATATGGAGATGGGAACTAGCTTGAAGTGGTTTCCGCTGATAGCTGCCCTAGTTCCCAACTCCGTATCATAGTTTGAAATGCACTAGCCCCATAAATGTGGCCTATTTACTGGACTGCCTCCGTAAACATAGGCCACACATCCACATGTACAAAAACGTGTCGACTTTGCCAAATTTTGATTTTCACATTTAGGCTTAGTTTGTAGGATTTTTTTGCTTTAGAAGCATACTCACCCTCTTTATAGGCTAGTCAGAAAGTGCTGCCTTTTTCAGATGTCTAATTTTTGTGAAATGCCATGTTGAAATTTTGATACGCAAACGTGTAAAAATGAATCTGGAAATTTCACGAAAAATATACATCTGAAAAAGGCAGCACTTTCTGACTAGCCTATAAAGAGGGTGAGTATGCTTCTAAAGCAAAAAAATCCTACAAACTAAGCCTAAATGTGAAAATCAAAATTTGGCAAAGTCAACACGTTTTTGTACATGTGGATGTGTGGCCTATGTTTACGGAGGCAGTCCAGTAAATAAGCCACATTTATGGGGCTAGAAATGCACTTGTGTGTACAAACGTCCCCGATTGACGCCCATGGTAGTCATGACAATACATTGATACAAACTACTTGATTTTTGCCATTTAGGCATACTCTGTAATTGTATTAGAAAGTTAATGTTTATTATTGCAGAGAGCATCAATGTGGCCAACTGCTCGCTGAGCGGCTGTGAGAATGGCGGCACGTGCATGCAGATGCCCAACTCGGATATCTTCTCCTGTCTCTGTCTCCCGGAATGGACGGGAGATCTCTGCGTAACCAAAGTCCAATGTAAGTGTTAATCTTGCATTTTATTAAGGGGAGAATGCAAAATTCAACAGGTGGTATACTGGAGGTGTACCTCAAGCTTTTGCGAGGTTTTACAGGGGTACCTCAAGGTTCAATTTCGAGTTACTGCTGGTTAAATTTTGAATTCTTCCCTAAAAAAAAAGGAAAGTGTCGAGCTACAAGAGTAAAACACATGTAGCCTGCATTTACATATTTCTCTGGGTGAGTGTCGTATTTGTGGATGTATGTATTTTGACATGTTTGAGTGGAACTAATTAACTATGTGCATCCCAGATCTTTCAAAATCCTCTGGGAGGTTTTGGGAGATTTGAAATGGGTGTTTAAAGGGAAAATACAACATTTGCAAACATCGAAAAATAAAACTACCAAGTTTTTACGAAATACCTTACCAGGATGTTGGTTAATGACAGTCTAAAGCATTCTGTAAAATTATGGGACCTGGTGTGAAGTCATTTTTAAGAAAATGGTATTTTTGTACACATTTCCAACGGTGGTCGGCTGACCACCGTTGGAAAAACCTAACTATTTTTTAACTACTGCTACATATTTACCATTTGTTTCAGTCCAAATTGTGTTTGCTATTGGTTACATATTCATGAACGGGTGCAGGCCAGCTAGACTGGTTCCCTTATCTTACAATTTTCCAGCATCTATAAATTGATCCATTTCATCTTTAGTGGAGTCAGGGAACCAGACTACTTGAACATTTTTGTTTTTCTTGGTTTTTCTAGCATTTTCGGACACAAAACTTCAAACATGTCAGTGTAGTAATATTTTTATCTATTATACTAACCCCTCAACTAGTTCATTTCTGAAAATTACAGAGGAAACCAATGATGTACATTCCCTTTAAATGAAATATCAGAATGACTTTTTTCATTTGCCTGCAGCTGGACCAGGCTGCAGCAGTAATCCATGCAACAATGGAGGGACCTGCCAAAACTTCATGGACCACTACGTGTGTCTCTGCGACTTCTTTTGGAAGGGGAGGCACTGCCAGACGTTCGATCACAAAGGTATCTAATAACCGTCCTTGTGGGAAGTCAATATTCACAGCAAAGTGTAAAACTCTTTAAAACCCTGCAGGTTAGTTTCAGGTGAAGGGAATGAGGTGTTATTAGTAACTGTGTCACACAGAGAGTCACTGAAAAAAAACCCACTACTGAGAGCAGTGAAGCATAACCGAATCTGCCTGCTTGAACTAAGCTTAACCACACAAAAGAATGGTACAGGTATTTGAAGCGTTATAATCCACAGAAGAGTACGTCAAAGGAATTTGAAGTGTGGGTGCTAACTCTATGGGCAAAAATGGTTTTGCAGAATTCTAAAGGGTTTTGAAGTGCAGAAGACTAGGAGGGCTGATCCGAGGAAATGTTGAAATTTCAAATGCTTCTTTAAAAATAAAGGTCCAAAGCTCTGTCAGTTGTAATTCTTTTTCATTTACCATGGAGTGTCATGGTCTAGCGCTTTAGAACACTGGACTCATGCTCTGGTGTTTCAGAGGCAACAGTGGCGTGGGTTCGAGCCCGCCGGGTGGACACTTATGCCCTTGAGCAAGGCACTTAACCATTATTGCTTCGTTCTTCGGATGGGACGTAAAGCTGTAGGTCCCGTGTGTTGTGTAATCCAATGCACGTAAAAGAACCCAGTGACACTTATCGCTATTAAAGAGAAGGGGTTTGCCCCGGTGTTTCTGGTCTCCTGTATAAACTCCCACGCGAAGTATTTAGGAGATGAACCAACCAAGAACCAAGATACAAAAAATACCATAAGTACCAATGAGAATAAAGTAGTTTGCGGGTACAACGTGTAATTAATCCCTTCCGTGAAGAAGTATGGTTCTCTAAAAAAAAAAGCTAGTGGTGAAAATTGTTGTCCGTGTTTTTGGACAGTACACTCTGTCCATCTTCAGGAGAATGCAGAACCTCGCTTCTGCACAGACGGGATTAGTTCCAATTTGTATCCATAAAATTACCAGTTTATTGTATCATTATTGTACCAAACCTGCAAAACACATCTGGAATTAGAACTAACTTGCATGTAGTTTTAATTTGGACCACCAACAGCAAGAATTGTACTGGTTTTGAAACGCCAGAAACATAAATGTATAAAATAATAAACATTTCTTTTCTTGCTAAGGTTTTGAGGATTCACCACCCATTACGACCCCCTGCAGTCTTCAAGAATATCGGTGCGGCGACGGGCATTGTGTCATCAAGAAATACGTCTGTGATGGCACAGAAGACTGTGTAGACGGAAGCGACGAGAAATATTGCAGTAAGATTCATAAAGAAAAGGAGAAAACCTTATTGATTTTATACGGAGGTTATAGGGCCTCTAATTTGTGAGGCGTTCTGGCAAAATGAGACACAACTGGGCAGAGGTCGAAATGAGGTTTGCAGGTAATAGGAAAGAGAATAAAATTCTCCTTACAATACCGTTTGTTGTACTTCAATTGGACATTCAGTTGACAAGTTATGGCTGTTAAAAGTTTGCATTTATCGGCATGTCAAAAAGTAAAATATTGAGAAAACGGCCTTTGGAGTTTTGAGTATTGTATTCGTGCAAACGAAAGATGCAAATTGGTTTTCCTTAAAAACGCTTTTTCCACAATTTTTTTTTTTTACTTTTTCTTTTAAAATATGTGTAGTAGACATATCAAAGGTTATAAATAAAAAAAAAAAATGAATATCGAAAAAAAAATTCAGATTTCCCCCCACTACAGGCTGTGCCCAGTTCTGTCTCATTTCGCCAGAACGCCTCACATTTGATGTACATGTAGCTCAACTTTTCTGTTAAATGCTTTGGTGTTGATATATTGTACACTGGTGTTGATGGCCCAGTGTAACAAGGTCTGTAGATTTGTACACCTGTTGCTCTGCTTAGCATCTGGCAGGGTGAGGGCTAATGGGTTGCACTTCATTCCCACAGGTTCCATGATGCCGGGCACAGTGTGTCCTGAGGGACAGTTCCATTGTGGTGACGGGAGTTGTATACCCCAGGAACGACGCTGCAATCAGGTGCAGGACTGCGCACGAGGAGACGATGAACATAACTGTGGTACGTCCCTTGCGTTATCAAAGACCAGTCTGTCCTGATTTGTGACCTGTTCTGTCAACATCAGACTTTTTCTGGGCATAAGGTCGAAAATGAGATTTTTGCATATTGTTAAAATATGTACATTTTCCTTTTAATAGGTGGTTTAATTTTTGAAACCTGTATTTCCTGGGCAAAGTTATGCTATTTTGAAGTTCATTGTGTCAAAAAGTAGAAAACGGAGAAAATGGCCAGTAACGTCACAAAACAGACATCTCTTTAACTGATATACCTCAATAAATCATCAAAAATACTATATTTAGAGTTCAAATTAGAGTTTCAAACTTTTATAGTATATTTTAGACATGTTCAGGATTTTACAAATCAGCAAAAATTAGAAAATCAAAAAAAAATCACCCCCACAGCGTTTTTTGGCCCTATCTTAATTTCAACCTCTGCCCAGAAGCGTCTGCTTTTGACAGAACGGGTCACATTTATGAATGAATCAGTGTTTTAGTCCATTCTGTCTAAAGACCCTAGTCTCTACTCTAGTCATAGGCCATTCAAAGAGAGTGATACAAAGGCATTCCTTTGTTATACTGCATCTGCTGAAGTACTGCTCAACACTCCTTGTTACTTTGCATTTGGAGTAAACTGAGCAGGATTGCATTGTTTATCCCCTGTTACTTGTTAAAAACTTGTGAATTGACTTGTGATTTACTCAGGACCAGACTTAAGAAGGACTTGAGATGCCTGAATACAACACTGTATTCAACACAACATTGTATCTTTAAAACTTGATTTGTGATATAAAAAAAGTCTTTTTTTTCCTTTTCTTTCATGGCCATTATTACCTGCTATAAACCTTCAAATGAAAATGTGCAAACATAACTAATGCTACATGCGTAGAGAAGACGTCTTTGCCACATATTGCCCACTTTACACAAAGGTTGAACAAGTCAAAAATGTTTAATTGATTTGTTTCAGGAGCCTCTTCCACAGCCCGTATCCCCTCTGATGGCCCAGGCGCAGGCATCCCACTCCATCCAGTGGAATCCAATCTCAATCTTATTGATATTCTGATTGTTTCATGTGCGATGCTCATGACCTTCATGGCCGTCACCATATTCGTCTACGTGCGCCGGGTCCGGCGCATGCAGCAGCGGTACTTCGCAGCCGTCGGTCACCCGCACCACCTCCACCACCACCACCATCACCACGGCCGGAGGCGGAGACGAAGCCGGTCGCGGCAGGCGGGGCGCATCTCCGACGGCACTGGCGACAGCATGGATGCGGTAGCCACGCCTTATCGGCTATCCCAGCATTCAAACTTCTGCCATCACCTCCCGCCTCACCGGTGCCCCGCTCGGACCAACCTCCTGGTGTCCTACAACTTACACAATGGCGTCCACATCCCAAGTCCGTCAAACACTTCGGACAAAGAGGAAGAAATTGAGGATGAGGTTCCACCAACGTATATGGAAGTCGTTGGTGCTGGAATGACGGCAGCTGGTGTTGTCACCATGCAGGGGGATGAAACTCCACCCCCAGCATATGAGGACCTGAATGTGGGGGAAGTTTTGTGAACATGCTGCAGCCTCAAGTTGGAACCAGAGACACAGTTTCACAAGTACTGTGTTTTCTGGCAAGAAAGGGAAATCTTTTTGTACGAGACAGTAAAAATCATTGCCAAACTGGAGAAAGGCAAGTGTGAGAGAAAATAAGGCAGTGCCTAATATTACAGAGCGCCCCCTTTTGTCTTTGGAAGTTCAATTGAACTGAAAGCCAGAAATTTGTGATGGTGCCCTCTGTTGAGTGAGCAAAGGACAGCTTTCACCAAAGCCTTTTTGGGAGAAAAAGCAATAAATGAGAATGAGTACCTTGTCGTGTGCATGGTGTGGTGAAGTATTGGTGATTGGAGCTTGGAAACGGTTACCAGTTGCAGGTCAGCGTACCAGTGAAGAATGCTGTAAATGTTTTTTTGTGTGGAATGTGTACGTGAACAGCTTAGAAGGATGCACAAATGAGTCGTCAATTGGCCCAAAATCCTGCCGTCATTTGCCGGAAACGCCTGATTCGGTCGGTTATCATCGCCAATCAGGTGTAGTCAAAGATTGTGGCTACCAGCGGTGCATGTTACTTCAGCCATGTGATCTGCGAAAAAACATCTTATGGCAGTTGTGTATGTCGAAAATAAAGTCTTCACGTAATTGCTTCCTACATGTTTATGCATATTTGTACGAATATGTTTTGGGACCATTCATACCTAAATCCATACAGTACGTAATACAATTTTTTGATGTGTTACTTTGTATGGAGCATACACATGTAGAGAAAACATATCAAGCCTACTTATATGTATTGAGTAGGCAGTATTGTTTTAATCAGTCATTGAAGTCAACAACATGATTAATGTGTACAAGTTGTTCACAATGCAAATTAGATTTTTCCCCCTCATTAAGTACATGCATAGGTATGCAGGAATGAATGTCATTTCCATTAATCATGCAGAATTTTTTGGGAGAGGAAACATTTGATAGAGATGTTGGTCTCTTGCCATGTTTGTGTGGATAAGTGCAAAAATGTGACAGTTTATTGTGGAAAAAGTACATGCCTGTACATGTTTTCATCAACGTATAAGGGCTGTGCAACGGAACTGAGTACCCGAGTACATGTGCTGTACCTGACTGTTGATGTCAGAAACCGGTTCCAGATTATGAAACTCTACACATTTTTGAGTAACTTCTCTGACAATGAAAAAGAAAGGTCTTGAATGTCATTTGTTGAGGATTGTAAAAATAAAAACCAGGCTACATGGGAAAACCAAACATATTTCAACGGAACTGAGTACCCGAGTACATGTGCTGTACCTGACTGTTGATGTTAGGAACCGGTTCCAGATTATGAAACTCTACACATTTTTGAGTAACTTCTCTGACAATGAAAAAGAAAGGTCTTGAATATCATTTGTTGGGGATTGTAAAAATGAAAACCAGGCTACATGGGAAAACCAAATGTAAATCATGTTTATGACGCTTGCGAAAGTTGAAATTTTTCATCTGGGTACCCGGTTCCCGTACTACCCGTTAATGCACTCCAGTCTCCTACATGTACAACGTGTATGCATAATGTAGATGTACATGTGAACTTTTTTCAATTCAATTCAATTCATTTGTTGTCCATTAAAAAGATAAAAATGGAAAATTTACATGTCTAAACATTGATGAAAGCTCCAAAACAGAACACTAAAAAATACAGTTAAAATGACTAAACTAGATTTACACATACAACTTTACAGCGAAAAAAATGTATTAAATATTTTAAGATAAACCGTCAAAAATAAATAAAAGGCCTTAAAACCTTAAAACCATTCAAGTGTAACCAAACCAACAAAGAAATTAAAACCGAGTAACCAACAGATCACCCCCGCCCCTATCGCTGCATTGACCCCCTTTCCATTGATTAGAACACAAAATTATCTTACAACATTTTAAACTGTATAGAGACTGATGAAAGATAAGTTAAAAACACATTAAGAACCAATCAGAAACACCACATTCGCCAAAACTGCCCAAACCACCCCCGCCCCCACAAGCCTCAGAATAAAAATAATCAGTAAAAACACATTAAGAATCATTAGCCTACAAACTCTTACTGACAAAGGCACAAATGAATTAAGATAGCGTGTGGTCCTACATGGGATGCTTCAGAGTCTTTTCCCTGACCTCATGAAATAATAATAATGGTGCAAGGGATGGTCCTTATTTTTCATTATTTCACCGGCCTTAGTTTGTGTGATTGATTTGGTTAAGTAGTGCATTACTTTTGTAACTAACGGGGTTTTCCGTTACATCAAATACAGGAAAATCACAGATTTCTAAATTGGATTTTTTTAGCTCTTTGAATAGTTGGGAAATCTTGAATGTTTTTCTGTGAGCTTAAAAGGTGGCAGTTTTGTTGCTTGTTCTTTTTTTTCTGTAAGATGTGATATACATGTACATGTATACATTTAAAGAGGTTGTGGAATGCTCGAAGACATTTCCGTCATTTTTTGGGTATATGTAGCGTAAGGTGTGATGAAATAAAAAAGACTATTGTGTCTGTCATGAAATGAGTACAAAAGGTACTTTTGAGAGCTATTTTTCAGGTCCTGTTTCGACCCGAACGTGCAATTTGTGTAAAAGTCGTCGTTGCGGGCAGCAAACAAAACACAGTAAATCGTGACGTAATAAACCGGACTCGTTTATGCTACTCTGCATCGGGAGTCCTGTTTATTACGTCACGATTTACTGTGTTTTGTTTGCTGCCCGCAACGACGACTTTTACACAAATTGCACGTTCGGGTCGAAACAGGCATGACAGGACTTGAAAAACAGCTCTCAAAAGTACCTTTTGTATTCATTTCATGACAGAAACAATAGTCGTTTTTATTTCATCACACCTTAGGCTACATATACCCGAAAAATGACGGAAATGTCTTCGAGCATTCCACAACCTCTTTAATTGCATGTAAAACTACATGTACATTTACATGTTCGTGTATCATGTTGGGAAAAAGCATGAATAGAGGTTATTCTGGTATGTTGGGAAATAAGGATTCTTCCCTTGTACCCTGTAGTTGTATTCCTGTTGAATAATGATTTTTTTTTATGTTAAAATGTAGCGCACATGTACTGTGTATTTTACCTTTCGGCAGCTGAGCTTAATTCAAGTAACTGTGTACATATTGAAAACTATTTTAATACCTGATATTTTACAGGTACATGTGTATGTAGTTGCTATTATTAGTGTTTTTGAATACCCTTTTGTTGCATTGTTATTACAAAGAAGTAAAACGTGCACGCTGACTCTTTCAAGAGCTGAAAAAAGCTGTTCATAGAAGTCAGCTGTTGTGCTAAATTGCATATTGTGGTTACCTGTAAACATGTACATGTACATATAGCTCTACCTTTCTATTGTGGCACTTAACTGGCCACCTGTAATGACCACCTGTCCATTGTGACCACCTGTCCATTGTGGCCAACTGTCCATTGTGGCTACTTGTCCATTGTGGCTACCTGCTCATTATGGCCACCTTTCCATTGTGGCTACCTGTCCATTGTGGCCACTTGTTCATTGTGGCCACCTGGTCATTATGGCCACCTTTCCATTGTGGCTACCTGTCCATTGTGGCCACTTTTTCATTGTGGCCACTTTTTCATTGTGGCCACCTGTACATTCTAGCTACCTGTCCAGTATTACCACCCATACATTGTGGTCACCTGTCCATTGGTGGCCACTTGTCCTTTTTGGCCACCTTACCAGTATTACCACCTATTGTGGCCACCAGGGTATTTTGGCCATCTTTCATTGGCCATTTGTCCATGATGGTGGTCACTTAAATCCTTTATTGGCCATTGTCTATTTTATTTGACTGTACTGTATGTTGTAGCATTTCATCTAAGTTTGGCCATTTGCCCATTATGGCCAGTGCCACTTCACTTGCCTTTTGTGGCCAGTACTAGCCAGTTCTAATAGTCACTTTTTGCCGCCTTTCCTTTAGGGGCAGTCTACCCCTTGTGGCCAAGAGTGACTGTACCCTACCTACATGACCTAACATGTACATCACTTGTCAATGTTTCTTTCAAGTCTTAATACATGTACCAGCATCAGTCCTGCAACTTTTAAGAATCCACACAATTAACCTTGTCATGAAACTCAACAATTGTATAGGATGTATCAATCTAGACTGAGAGATTACAAACGACACATGAAACGGCAGGATTTCCCTCGGTCACGAATGAAATAAAACAGGCTCGTAAAATGTACATTTTAGGGTGTGTCACTTACACTGCATCTCACAGAAAGAAAAATGTCTTGTTGAATCAGGAAACACCTGCTGGACTGCACTGTTATGTTCCTAAGTTGTCATTACTTATAAAGGGTCAAACTTGTCTGAGACAGGATATTGTGATTTGATGTAAAAATTGAAATGTAGGGTCTCTGAAATCGGTCATTTTTAATAAGTGACAAAGCTGTCATAAACTGTCAAATTTAAGCAACCAGAATGATGCTTGTGCAACACTGACGAAAAACATCTACATTGTGTGTTGTAAGTCATGGGTTAAAGGGTGCGTATCTAAACCCCCATTGCATTTTGTTCGCAATGGTAAATCAGCTTATATCATTTCCGTTTTCTATTTTGTTGATACTGCATTGCAGATCTCTCAATTCGTCCATGCAACTATGTTTATTGGCCACTTTGAAATATTTCTTGGTAGATATGTTTACCTGTAAATATTGGTACATGTACCCGATATGTAGAGTTAAGTAGATTTTGAAGGGTAGATTTTTGTTGTTGTTGTGGGTAATGTTACATTAATTGTGTACTTTGTATTGCAGAATGCAATTATTTTAGTGTACTTTGTGTTGGAGAATGCAATTTTTAAAAATTTGTTTAGTCGTCAAGGTATTCACTTGAGTACATGTAGTAAGTTATTTCTATACGAAGTATAGATTTAAGTTATCTCATTATTGTGTGCTACAAGTTTATGACATTGGTCCAGTACACGAAGTGCAGTCAGAGGCAAAAAACAACGTATGTACATGTACATGTATTACACTGTACATGTAGTTTAATGTAAATATACTTCCTGTACAGAAACTAAGGACCCTAGATCTGTAGGGGTTTTCAGATTATAAAGTACTTTATTTCCAGAGTAAGTAACGAAACCTTGTATTTTTTAAACCAACCTTTTTGATATGGTGTTCTATGTATGTGTAGACTATTTTTGTAGAAAAAGAAAGGCACCCCAGTGATGTATTTATTGGTAACTATTTCATCAGCTGACAATTTTGTCATCTGTGTGCATGTATTTGTTAGAAGGTGTCAGAGGGCATTTCTTATTATTTGGGCTAAGGCTTCAGTTGTTGCTGTTTTGGGTGTCATGTTGAGCCTCAAGTGTGCAAAGCTGAAATGGGATGTGGCTTTAGGTTTCTGTTTATGATTCTTTGCATACAGTGAAAAAACAAAAATGAAAAGGACGTCTTTGAAACTTAGATATGAAGCATGTGAAGCTGAATCCAAATTTTGAATAATGACCTTGGCTTTATACATGTTAGTATTTGTGTTTACGTATTATGTGTACATGATTAAATGTACAGCTTTGCTTCTTTCATTTAACCTGAGTTCTTACAACAAAAGGGAACAAAAAAGACAAAAACAGTTACCTTTTTAACCAGTTCACGTCAGATGATGTGTATACACGCAAAGGTTTTGAGGTATTCGGAACGGATGACGGATAAACACGCAGGGAGTGAGGCTGGAAATATTTGTCTGCAGTGAGCGAGGCCTGATCCCGTCTGGGATCGAGGTTCGTGAAAAACAATCCGGTCCGGTCACTGTCAAAATAATCCCAGCATGAACTGGTTAAGATATATTTCACATAGGAAAGCAATTGTGTTCATCTTCCATATGGCTACGGTCAAGTTTTTGCCTGTATGGTTCCCTGCATTTTGGGCTGCCAAAAATATAAGAAAGCTCA